AAAATGGGGAGAAATGCCAAAGGAAAGAGTCAAAAGGGGGGAGAAATTCCAAAGGAAAGCGTCAAAAAGGGGGGAGAAATTCCAAAGGAAAGGGTCAGAAACAGGGAGGAACGGGAGAAATGCAAAAGGAAAGGGTCAAAAATGGGAGAAATTCCAAACGAAAGGGTCAAAACGGGGAGAAATCCAAAGGAAAGGGTCAAAAAAGGGGAGATATTCCAAAGGAAAGGGTCAAAACGGGGAGAAATGCAAAAGGAAAGTCATCAAAGATGGAAAAATTTTGAATGAAAGGGTCAAAACAGGGAGAAATTCCAAAGAAGAGTGTCAGAAATGGGGGAAATTCCAAAGGAGACCATCAGGAACAGGGAGAATTTAAAAAGAAATCAGCAAAACAGGGAGAAATTCAAAAGCATCAAAAAAGGAGAAATTTCAAAGAAAAGCATCAGAAAGAGGGAGAAAATCCAAAGAAAAGTGTCAAAGAGAGAGAAATTCAAAAGAAAAGCCTCAAAGAGAGGGAGAAACGCAAACGAAATTGTCAAAAAGAGGGAGAAATTCCAAGTGTCCAAGTGTGAGGGGGGATGAGGCCTCTCCCTCCCCCCATGCCGGTGGGATCCCAGCTCACCGCGATCCGGTGGGAATGAGCGCTGGGAAGCGCAGCTCCCGGCACGGCTGCTCGGCGGCGGCGTTCCCGCTTTCCGGAGCGTTTTTAATCCCGCTGAGCTCATGGCACAGGTGGTTGCAATCAAGGCGGCCTCCTTATAAGGGCAAATTCCCATTCCGGCCCCGGGTGGATCCGCGGACACGGATACGTCCGGTGATGCCGGGATGCGGCACGGAGCCCACGGGCGGCTCCCGATCCCGACTCAGCCTCATGGAAAGCGGCTGGGATGATGCCGGCGCCGTATATCCCACTGGGAAGTTTTTCCCGGAATGGGAGGCACGGGAGGGATGAGGCCGCCCGTGCCACGTGCTCCGGCTCGCCTTTCCTCTGGACATAGCGGGAATCGCTGCCAAAAATCCGCCTCCGCAGCCCCAAGCTGCTCTGTTTTTCCGGGAAAAACCCTTGGGAATGTGGCCTCGGGATCCGCACGCTTCACCGGGATTTGGGGCTTTTTTTTATTGTACAACAAGCGGATCCAGGGTGGGAATGTAAACATGGTGCCGGCGGAGGAGGGAGGGGATGCGCATCCGTGTGTCCATCCGTTCCCCCCTCCCACCTTTTCCCGGGATTCGGCCGGGCCTCGCTCCGCCGCCCCCTCGCCGGCTGCTTCCCCCTACCTGCCCGGCTCCGGCGCGGGGGGGGCTTCCCGCTGCTCTTCCTCCTCCTCCTCCTCTTCCTCGGCACCAGGGGGGAGGTTGGATTCCGTGAGGAGGGAAGACTCGTCCACGGATACAAATTCGGGATCTGCGGAAGGAGAGAGCGGTGTTCCAGCACGGAATTCCGGCGTGAAATCCCAGCATGGAATTCCGGCACGGAATTCCGGCATGGAATTTAATTGGGGGGTCTTTTGGCACCGGGGGGACCAAAAATCATCATCCCTCTTCACTGGAATCCTTGGCCGGAGCAGCCGCATCCGCAGGTCCGATATCCTCCGTATCCGGCTCCGTCTCCGGCTCCTCCGTGTCCGGCTCTTCCGTGTCCGTCTTTTCCGCAGGACCTGGAACAGGGCAGGACAAGGGGGGGTGACATCGGAATGGGGGGGGTCACAACGATGCCCCCCCCCCCAAACCCCTCACCTTTCCCAGGTGCCGGCGGCTCCTTCCGAGGCGGAGCATCCCGGAGAATTGCCTGGGATAAAAGAGATGGAAAAGCGGGATATGGAGGGGGGGGGGATGTGTCACCCCCCCGGGAAGGGGGTGTCACCCACCGTGGCCGGGGGGACCTCACGGGGCCACACGCTGCCCCAGACCCATTGCAGGTAACTGAAGAGGACGATGACGCTGAGGAAGGCAAAATTGCTGGCGATGCCGAGGAGCGCCGAGGTGACCGGGAAGTTGTACAGGAGATACCTGGAAAACAGCGGGAAAAGAGCGGGAAGCGACGGGGCGGGATCACAAAACATCCCCTGGATTGGATGCCATATTCCCGGATCGGATGCGGCGTTCCCGGCGCTCACCGCCAGCCGGTGAAGTGAGCGTGGATGCGGAGCTGCGCTCCGTAAAGCTGGATGCGCTTGCTCTGGATCTCCAGGACGGCTCCCACGGTCGGGGCGTACTGCGGAAAAGCCGGGAATGGGCATCCCGAGGGGGAAAATCTCCCTGCTTTGGAATCTCGGGATGCTCCGAGGGGGCTCTCACGGAATCCTCGCGGTAATCCGAATAAAGCTCCACTTCCACCGTCTGCTTCTGCTCGGCAAATCCCGAGAGGAAGAGGCCGGAGAAGAGCAGCGTGTCCAGCGTGCGGAGCAGCCCGGAGCGGTAATGGAGCATGGCCTGGGACGGGGACAACGCGGCCGGTGACGCCGGGACGGCCCCGCGGGTGGCCCCGTTGTCCCCGATGTCACTCACGGAGCGGGCGGAGGTGGCCACGACGCGGCCCCCCTTGGTGTAGCAGCTCATGGACACCATGAACATCCCGAGATCCCGGTTTGCCGGCGACTCCGGAAGCTCCAGATCCAGCGAGATGCGGTACAGCTGCCCGTACATCATCACCTGGGGGGGATTTGGGGAAAAACAGGGAAAACGGGGAACATTTTCAGGAAAAACAGGCTCAGCATCCCATTCATCCCCCCTTTAGGCCCCCTACACTGACTGTATCGTCACCCGGATACGTTTTTTTTGGGAAAAAAAGCTCAGCATCCCATTTATCCCCTTTAGGCCCCCTACACTGACTGTATCGTCACCCGGATACGTTTTTTTTGGGAAAAAAAGCTCAGCATCCCATTTATCCCCTTTAAACTCCCTATACCGACTGTACCGTCACCTGGATACATTTTTTTGGGGGAAAAAAGACTCCGCATCCCGTTTATTCCCTCTACACTCACTGTACCATCACCTGGATATTATCACCTGGATATAATTTTTTTTTAGGAAAAAAACATCAGCATCCCATTTACCCCTCTTTACACCCCCTATAGCGACTGTATTTTCCCCTGGATATACTTTTTTGGGAAAAAAAAGCTCAGCATCCCATTTACCCCTCTTTACACCCCCTATAGCGACTGTATTTTCCCCTGGATATACTTTTTTGGGAAAAAAAAGCTCAGCATCCCATTTACTCCCCCTACACTCAGTATACCATCACTTGGATGCATTTTTTTTGGGAAAAAAAAGCTCAACATCCCATTTAACGCACTTTAAGCCCCCTATACCGACTGTATCATCACCCAGACACATTTTTTTGGGAATAAAAGCCCCGCATCCCATTGA